TCAAAGGCTTCCCAGTGTACTTGCAATATAAACCAAATTGTTTATCCTGACCTACAGGGTCTTCATGATCTGGCCCCTGTCTCCCTCAATACTTCATTTTATAGCACTTTCCACCTTAGCCCACTAGCTCCCTTTTAATTCCTCAAACCCATTAAATTATTTCCTGCCTCAGGTCATCTTTCTTGATGCTCCTTCTACTTAAAATCTTTTTCTGCCTATTTATCTGGCTAACACATTGATCCTTCAGATAACTGATTAAATGTTACTTTGTCAGATAGGCCTCCCTGGCTCTCCAATTTAAATTAGGGCCCCCTTTTATACACTTCCATCACACTGGTTAGTCTCCCTTACCAGACTATAAGCTCCAAGAGAGCACAAATCACCTTCCTTCTGTCCATCTCTAAACACCCATGTCTGATGTCTGACTAGAAAGTATTCAAAAATTTGTTTTCAAGCATGGTCTATTTGATTCTGTAGACTATTACATTATTACTATCTAGAACAATACTGTGAAGAAATCTTAGGCTTTTCCTGATTTTCCCACAAATTTACATATGTTTGCAAACTTGTGATTCAAGTGGTAAAATTTTCAAGGATTTCTTAAGAGTATGTCATTTTTTAAAAATGTGTGTCTTTTCACCCATATACAATTCATGATCCCTGAAAAGTATTTAGTGCATTAGAATCACACATGGTGAAACAACCAGCAAAGGACAATGGCCACCTTTTGCTGGGTCAGTTAAGGTACTAGATTTGAAGAATCACTAAATGACTTAAAAATATAACTTTTCAGGGGCACCTGGCTAGCTCAGTCAGTAGAACATGCCACTCTTGATCCTGGTGTTGCGAGTTCAAACCCCACTTTGGGTGATTACTTAAAAATTAAAATGAAGGCAAAACTAAACAAAACTCAACAAAAAACAAAAAAACTTTTCAGAATATTTTCCCCAGGGGTACCTGGGTGGCTCAGTCGGTTAAGAGTCAGAGTTCACCTCAGGTCATGATCTTGTTGTTCGAGGGTTCAAGCCTCGTGTCGGGCTCTGTGCTGACAGCTCAGAGCCTAGAGCCTGCTTTAGAGTCTGTGTCTTCCTCTCTCTCTCCCCCTCGCCAACTCAGGCACATACATGCTTTCTCTCTCTCTCTCAAAAATAAATAAAATTTTAAAACCTAAAAAAAATAAAAGGCCAGGTTTCCACTCCTTGGGCACAGCCTTGAGTCAAATAAAAGATAGACATAATTGCATTAGAATGTGCAAAAATCCCATGGAAACGGAAAAGGGCCTTCAAGAAATTTTTCTCAAATTTGAATCCTCAGATATATTTTTTGATACTCACTAGAATTTTCTTTTTCTCCCCCATTTAAAAATTGTGGTAAAATATACTTAACATAGAATTTGCCATTTTGACCATTAAAAAAATTTTTTTAATGTTTATTTATTTTTAAGACAGAGACAGAGTGGGAGTGGGGAAGGGAAAGAGACAGAGGGAGACACAGAATCTGAAACAGGCTCCAGGCTCCGAGCTATTAGCACAGAGCCCGACATGAGGCTCAAACTCATGAACCTAGAGATCATGACCTGAGCCAAAGTTCATGCTTGACTGAATGAGCCCCCCAGGGGTTCCCACCATTTTGACAATTTTTAAGGGTATAGTTTAGGGACATGAAACACATTCACCTTGTTGTGCAACTATTAACCACCATCCATCTCCAGAACATTTTACATCTTGCAAAACAGAAACTCTGTACTCTTTAAATGGCTTTTTTTATTCAGCATGATGTCTTCAAGGTTCATCCATAGTAAACCATCTATCAAAATTTCCTTCCTTTTTAAGACTGAATCTAATAGTATTTTAAGGTTGAATAATATAATAAATGTCATATTTACATGACTTTTTTATCAATTCATCTGTTGATACACATTTGAGCTGCTACCATTTTTTGGCTACTGTAAATAATGTTGATGTGGATATGGTTGTACAAATGTTGGTTTGATTCCTTGCTTTCAATTCTTTTGAGCTTATACCCAGAAGTGGAATTGCTGGAATATATGGTAATTCTATTTTTAATGTTGTGAGGGACTGCCATATTGTTTTCCATAATGGCTGCACCATTTTACATTCCTGCTGGCAGTGCACAGAGGTTGCAGTTTCTCACCATTATTGCCAACGCTTGTTATTTTCTGTTTTGTTTTGTTTTGTTTTATAGTATCCATTTATTTTAAAAAAGTTTTTTAAAGTTATTATTTAAAGAGAGAGCGGGAGAGAGGGGCAGAGGGAGAGAGGGTGAGAATCTTAAGCAGGCTTTCTGCTAAGCAACTTGGGGCTCAATTCCAGGAAACTGGGATCATGACCTGAGTTGAAATCAAGAGTCAGATGCTCAACCCACTGAACCACCCAGGTGCTCCTATAACAGCTATTCTAATGTTGCCGGGAGCCTCACCGGCCTCTATGGATGGCAGTCACAGCAAGGAAATGGCAGTGTTTGCACAGCTACTGCCATGAGAAATGAAAACTGGTATCTCCTGCTACTACTGGCTCATGTTGTGCTGGTATTGACCAGGCCTCACAATATTCCATATCAGACCCATATTCTGAACACAGATACCTCATAAGGAAAAGCATATTCCTGCCTTTACAAGAGAGATTTTAGATGAAAGCTCTACGGATGATTGTCAAAAGGCTCTTCCTGAGGGCCTTGCAGATCCAAGACTTAGGGGGTTAAGAACACAAGAATTACAACTGAGTCTGGCCCCGAGACAAAGAGCCTAATTTAGAGTTAAGGTACAGATAAGGGCAGAACTTAAGTTAATACTTATACCTTCTCCTAATTGGTGATGTATGGCAGTCCCTTCCCAAGGCCTACTTTCTGCAAACACCCTCCCTTACAGGTGGCTGGGATGAGGATAGATAAGAGTAGCTAAAGCATTACCCACAAACAAAAGGCTGACACATTTAGGGCCTCCATGGTGTTCACACATTCAGCATCAAATAGGTTTCCACAAACAACTTATTAACCAACTCAAAAACATACATTTGAGAGTCAGACAGAATGACTCTTAGCCCATCTATACACTTAACCTATGACCTAACCTTAGCGTTATTAACTTAGAACAAATATGTATCCTGTCTTTTACTAAGAATACCCTAATTCTCTAGTTATAAGATTTACTTAACCTCACTATAATTGCAATAGTTCTGCAAGAATATTTCTGCAAAACCTGCTTGTGTACACTTTCCAAAGCATCTTATCACAAAGAGCTATCCATTGTAAAAATTCCTTTTTCTGATGTCGTGTTATCATTTAACCTATAAATAAAGACACCAAAACCGACAGGACAGAGATGCCTGCCTGGTGATCAGAAAGAATCTCGGGGCTCTCTCACTCTCTTTCGTCGACACCGTCCATCCTTCAGGGACCCCTGGACCTGTCGGAGCCGGCGCGGCCTCCGGCATAATGGGTGTGAGATAGTATCTCATTGCGGTTTTGATTTGCATTTTACTAATGATAAATGATATTGAGCCTCTTTTCATTTACTTATTAGTCATTTGTACACCTTCTTTGGAGAAATGTCTAGTTTAAGTCCTTTGCCCATTTCTTAATCAAGTTTTTCCTTTTCTTTTAAAGGTGGTGAGAGTGAGTACATTACTCAGGTTTAAGAGACTACTAACCAAATTCTAGAGATAAATCCATTGGCTACTTGGCATTAAATTTCCTATAAATAACCACTATGTTTACAAAACTATATTGCAATGAATTATAAGTAAAACAAATTTGAAATTAAAAAAATTAATTTTAAAAACTACTGCTTGTGAAATATAATTCACATACAGAAAACTGTGCATAAGAGCACAGTTTGGTGAATTTTTACAGATGAACACATACGTGTAACTAGTGCCAACATCAACAGAGAGAGCCTAACACCTTGGGAATCCTTCACCCAGTCACTATCCCTTTTCTGCAAAGGTAACCATTACCCTAAATCCTAGCAGATTTCTTTTCCTGTTTTTGTGCTGAGAAAGGCTTACTCATTAAGTATTTTTTTCTGCCCCACTTTTTATGCTCAAATTTACATTTCTGCAGTTAAGCCATTTCACGTCGGTAGTTGCGAGTCATTCTCATTGTTGCACAGCATTCCATTATATGAACACTGTGAATTTACTCATTTATTCTATTGTTTATGGTCTTTTGGGTAATATTTCCATTTGGGGGCTATTAAAACAATGCAGTTGTGAACATTCTTTTGCGGTGTTGGTGCAAGGTAAGTACTCATTTCTCTTGGCTGGATTAGTAGAGGTGGAACTGCTGGGTTATGGGGTTTGCTTCTTTAGGAAACAGTGCCAAATTGTGTTTTAAAGGAGTTGTCCTAGTTTACATTCCGGAAGTAGGGTAGATGCATTCAGTTATTCCACATCCTTGGAGTATTTTGCCAACACTTGGTAATTTCCTTTATTCCCTCTGTTCTATTTTATGTTGAAATATACAACTGAAGCAGTTTAGATTGCTTTTAGGGGGACCTTTTAATTGTTGGTTTGGTTCTCTGAACTTGTTAACCATCTCAGACTTCTACTTTGTTCAGCTGCAACGTATGGACTGTGAGTGCGTTTTCAGTTTTGCTCAACATTTTTTGCTCACTCTACCACTTGGATGTCATTCGGTGGAGAAAATAAGGTGTGCGTCCAAGGCGCAGCAAGTCCTTTGAGTACTATGGAAGTCTGATCGCTTAGGCGAAACCTATGCGGACCTTCCTTATCAGTTCTTTACTAGGGTCCACGATCTAGAAGCTCCCGCCCTCCGCTGCCCTCCGCACTGCACACCGGGTTTCCCCAGAGGCACAGGGAACGCAGAGGAGCCGCGGGGAACGCAGGAGAGCCGCCCTCCCCCGGCACCAGCTCGGACGCGGGTGGAGCGGGGCGGGGGGGGGGGGGGGGAACCGGGTCTGCGCGGAGCATGCGCAGACCCAGCCCAGCGCATGCTCCGCAGCGCGGCGGGTCCACAGATGAGGGGAGTCGAGTCTCCCGCGCCCCACCATCCTTCCCGGAGTTGCTGCTGAGCGGCTTGTTCTGAGCCCTGGCTGCCAATAAAGTTCGTTAAAAAATCATAGTCATTTTTAAGAGAGTGAAAGAGGGCGCGAGCCAGCCGGGCGGCCCCGCCGGGGGGAGCTGGCGCTCTGGGAGGAGGAGGAGGCGGCGGCGGCGGCGGCGGCAGCGGTTGCGCCGCGACCAGGAGGAGCCGGTCGCGCCGGGCGGCGGGTCCGTGGCGGGCGGGGACGGTGAGTAGCAGCTTGCACTCCGGGCAGCCGCGCGCCTCTCACTCGCCCTCTCCGGCGGCTCAGGACTCCCCCGGCTCTGCTGGGGAAGGTCCCGCTTCTTCCCGGGGTCCCGGGATGTGCCGTACTCCGGGGGCTGGAGAGGGGTGTCGGGGACAGGGGCCTCCAGGCCCGAGCTCCCGGCCCTTGAGCGCCCGCGCCCCCGCCGCGGAGCGCGGTGCCCAAGTTCCAGCTGGAGGAGGTGGGCGGCAGCGCCTGCCCGGCGCCCGCTCTCCCCGCCCGGCGGCCCGGGCTCCCAGGGTGTGGGTCCCTGGGGTTGCCCCTAGGGCGGGAAGGAGCGAGACGGGCGAGGCGCTGGCCTCCAGCCTGGCTGAGCACCCAGCTCCTCGTCTTCCCCCAGCCCCCAGGTGGGGCAGGCGCGACCCCAGCCGGGAGAGACCCCGGCCAAGGGGCCTGAAGTCCTGGGTGAGGTGTGATGGGGAAGAGGGTCCCAAGTCCTACTCTGGCTTTTAAACCCCCCTCCTTCCTGCAGAGGGGCCCCCTCCTTACCCGCGGCCCCACCCTACCCTAGTTTCTCGCTCAGAGACTGCTAGAATATGAATGAGCCAGACTGCACTAGTTCATTGACAGTGGCTGCCACAGAATTACTTAACTCGGAGAACCGAGGAGCCTCCAGCAGCTCCCAGACGTAAGAACCTGAGGGTGTGTGAGAGAGTATTAATTTCACTATCAGGAGTGTCAGGAGAGCCTGAAAACCCCGTGTACTTCTCTAGGTTTTATAGAACTCCTAACGTCTTCTAAGTAATTTCACTGAACCTAACAAGTTTTTCGGTGTTGTTATAAACATAATCGTATCTGTACTTAAGTACAGGCTCAGATGTAAATAAACCTTTTGATCAGTGACTTAGCTCATCTTTTCCTTTTCTAGTTTATTAGACTGCATTGGTTGGAAAAAGTCTTTAAAATTAAGTTTGGGGGAAAGAGTATTTATGTAAAGCATTACTGTAAGCCTTTAAATTGTCATACTCAACCAACTTGACAATAAACTGTTTGTTAAAAAAATAAAATAAAATTGTCATACTCAGAATTATGCCTATTTTCCAAGAGCTTAGTTGTTTTGATATAATGCCGTAAGTCTGGAGAGTAGTAGTAGCTCATAATCACAAGAGTCAGATTGCTTGTGTTAAAATCTGATTACACTCTCCTTCTTTTAATTTTTTTTAAAAATATTTATTTATTTTGAGAGAGAGACAGAGAAAGAGAATGAGCTGGGGAGGGGCAGAGAGAGAGAGAGAGAGAGAGAGAGAGAGAGAGAGAGAGAGAATCCCAAGCAGGCTCCATGCTGTCATTACAGAACCTGATGCAGGGGCTGGATCCCACCAACCCTGAGATCATGACCTGAGCCAAACCAGGGTCGGAGGCGTAATAGACCGAGTCACCCAGGCGTTCCTTTACATTTTGTTTTTTAAAATTATATGATAAAGGGCACCTGGGTGACTCAGTTGCATGAGCCTCCGAATCTTCATTTCCACTCAGGGTCATGGGATCGAGCCTGCCATTGGTCTCTGTGCTGCGCTTCGAGCCTGCTTGGGATACTGTCTCTCTCCCCTTCTCTTCCTACCCCACCTGTGTGTTCCTTCTCTCTCTCTCTCAAAATAAATAAACATAAAAAAATAAAATTATATGGTAAAAGTGACTTTTTAGGGGATGTGCGGTTCTATGAATTTTAGATTAATGCAACCACCACTACCATCAGAACAGTTCTTATCACCACCCCCACCCCCACCAAACTCATGCTGTCCTTTTATCTTTTCCCTAACGCCTCAACCCTGGCAGTCACCAGTCCTTTCCAGATGTCTTCTAAGTGGAATCATACAATATGTAATCTTTTAATGCTGACTTCTTTTCACTCAGTTTAATGTCCTTAAGATCCCTCCAAGTTGTTGCACGTATCAACAGTTTTCTTTTTTTATTGCTAAGTACTGTTCCATTAGGTGGACATGCCACAGTTTGTTTATACATCAACCCACTGAAGGACATTTGGAGTGTTTCCAGTTCTTTCTCATTATGAATGGAGCTGCTTATAAACATTCATGGGCAGATTTTTGTATGAACATTAAGTTTTCGTTTCTAGCATATTGCTAGGAGTGAGGTTGCAGGGTCATATAAAGTATGTTTAACTTTATAAGAAACTGTCATGCTGATTTCCAGAGTGGTTGTGTCATTTTGCATTCCTAACAGCAAGCAGTGTGTGAGAGTACCAGTTGTTCTTCATCCTCCTAAGCACTTGGTATGGTCAGTAATTTTATTTAAACATTTTTTTAATGTTCTTTCTTTGTTTTTGAGAGAGAGACAGAGACTGTGTGAGCAGGGGAGGGTCAGAGAGAGAGGGTGTTACAGAATCCGAAGACAGGCTCCAGGATCTGAGCTGGCTGTCAGCACAGAAGCATAGAGCCTGACGCGAGGTTCGAACCCACGAACGGTGAGATCATGACCTGAGCCAAAGTGGGACACTTAACTGACTGAGCCACTCAGACGCCCCCCAGTAATTTTAAATGTAGCCATTCTAATAGACATGTGGTATCCCATGGTTTTGATGTGTCTTTAATTAATGGTTAACAATGTTGAATTTCTTTTCATGTGCTTATTTGGCATATATAATCTTTGATGAGTATCTGGCCGAGGGTATTGCCCTTTTTTCAAGTGGGTTGTTTGCTTTCTTATGTTGAGGGTTTTTTTTTTTAATGTTGTTGAATTTTGAGGGTTCTTTATATGTTCTGGATACAAGTTATTTGGTAGACATGTGCTTTGCCAATATTTTCTTGCAGTCTGTAGCTTGTCTTTTTATTCTTTTAACAGCATCGTTTCCAGAGCAAATGTTTTAGTTTTTATGGAGTCTTACAGTTTTACTTTTATTTTTTTTTAATGTTTTATTTATTTTTGAAAGAGAGAGCGCGACGGGGGGGGGGAGTGGGAGGGAGAGAGGGGGCAAAGGATACAAAGCAGTCTCAGCTCTTCACTTGACAGTAGCAAGCTTGATGAGGGACTGGAACTCACAAACTGAGATCGTGAACTAAGCTGAAATCAGGAGTCTGATGCTCAAGCGACTAAGTCACGCAGGTGCCCCTATATTTTTATTTTTTTATTTTATATTTTTAAAACGTTATTTTTGAGAGAGAGAAGGAGAGAGTGTGGGAGGGGCAGAGAAAAAGGGAGACGGGATCTGAAGCAGGCTCTGAGTTGACAGCAGAGAGCCTGATGTGGGGCTCTAACTCACAAACCAAGAGCTCATGTCCTGAAGTCAGATGCTTAACCGACTGAGCCACCCAGGAGTCCCTGTTTTAAAAAAATGTATTATTATTTTTTTTAATGTTTATTATGTTTGAGAGAGAGAGAGAGCCGATAGTTTTAGATCTTTGGTCCATTTTGAGGTTTAGGTAGATGTTTGGTTTTTTTTACATATGAATGTTCAATTGTTCCATCCCCATTTGTTGAAAACATTGTCTTTTTTCCATTGAACTGTTTTTGCACCTTTGTCAAAAATCAGTTGGCTGAATTTGTGTGGGTCTATTTTTGGGCTCTGTTCGGTTCCATTGATCTATGTATCTTTCTCTTTGCCAGTATCGTGCTTTCTTAATTAGTACAGCTTTTTGGTGCTTTCTTAATTAGTACAGCTTTTTGGTGTCTTAAAATTGGCTAGCATGATTTCCTCCAATTTTATTATTTTTCAAAATTGTGTTAGCTATTCTAGTTTATTTGCCTTTAGCTCAGTCTGTTAAGCAACCAACTCAGTCTTGATTCAGGTCATGATTTCATGGTTTGTGAGTTTGAGCCCTGCATTGGGCTCCATGCTGTCAGTGTGAAATCCAGTGAGGATTCTCTCTCTCTCCCTCTTTCTCTGCCTCCCCCGCTTGTACTTTCTCTCTCAAAATAAATAAATAAAAATAAACTTAGAATCAGCTTGTCTCAACTATAAAATAATCCTGCTGGTACTTTGGAACTGCATTAAACCAAAGATCAATTTGGGGAGAAGTGCTGTTTTTACTTTGTTGAATCTTGCAATCTGTGAACATGGCATGTCTTTTCATTTATTTAGGTGTTTATTTCATTAGTGTTTTATAGTTTTCAGCATATAGATCCTATGCATATTTTGTTAGATTTTTAACAAAGTATTTAATTTTTTTTTGAAACTCTTGTAAATGTCACTTAAAAATTTTTGGTTTCGGGGTGCCTGGCTGGCTCGGTTGGAAGAGCATGAGACTCCTAATCTCAGGATAGGGAGTTCAAACCCCATGTTGGGTATAGAGATTACTTAAATAAATAAAACTTAAAAAAATTTTTTTCTTTCAAATTGTACATTGTTAGGGTATAGAAATACAATTCAATGTTGTTTGTTGTTTTTGTATCCTGTGCCCTTGCTAAGCTAACTTATTAGTTCCAGGATTTTTTTTTTTAATTCCTTGAAGTTTTCTTTCTTTCTTTTTTTTTTTTTTTTAATATTTTTATTTATTTCTAGGAGAGAGAGAGAGATAGCGTGAGCAGGGAGGGTCAGAGAGAGAGGGAGACACAGAATCTGAAATAGGCTCCAGGCTCTGAGCTGGCAGTCAGCACAGAGCCCGACGCGGGGCTCGAACCCATGAACTGCGAGATCATGACCTAAGCGAAAGTCGGACGCTTAACTGACTAAGCCACCCAGGCGCCCCTAATTCCTTGAAGTTTTCTATAAAGACAGTCATGTAATTTGTGAATAGGGACAATTTTATTTGTTGTTTTCTTTCCCCTAATCTGTAAGTGTTTTATTTGTTTTTTTGTCACCTGTTTCCCTGGCTAGAATTTTGTGTATGATGAATAGGAGTGATGAGAGTAAAGATTCTTTCCTTGTTCTCAGTCTAGGGGTTAAAGCAGTCAGGCTTTCAGGAGTGCCTGGCTGGCTCCGTCAGTAGGGCATGCAACTCTTTATCTCAGGGTCATGAGTTTGAGCCCCATGTTGTGGGTAGAGTTTACTTAAAAAAAAAAAAAAAAAAAGCTTTTAAAGAATTAAGTATATAATATTAGCTGGGTAGTTTTTAATAAACACCTTTTATCAGGTTGAAGAAGTCCTCTTGTGTTTCCAGTTTGCTATTTTTCTGACAAATAGATGTTGAGTTTTATATATTTCCTGTGAAATATGTATCAGTTGATATGGTAATGAGGTTTTTCTTCTTTGCTTTGTTACTGTGCTTGATTACACTGATTGGTTTTAGGTGTTGAACCACCCTTGCATCCCCAGAACAAAACCCACTTGTCCTGGTTATTCTTTTTATATATTCCTGTATCTGATTTACTAATATTTTGTTGAAGACTTTTGTGTGTCTATGATCATGATTGGATATTTGTCTAGTTTTCTTTTTCGTACTGTCTTTGTGTGGTGTTGGTATCAAGGTAATGTTGGCTTTATAAAATAAGTTGTGAACTGTTCCCTTCTTTTCTATATTCTGGAAAAGATTGTGTTTCATTGGTGTCAGCTCTTGAAAAGTTTGGTAGAGGGGTGCCTGGGTGGCTCAGTCGGTTAAGCGTCCAACTTTGGCTCAGGTCATGATCTCACAGTTTGTGGGTTCGAGCCCCGTGTCGGGCTCTGTGCTGACAGCTATCTCAGAGCCTGGATCCTGTTTCAGATTCTATGTCTCACTCTCTCTCTGACCCTCCCCTGCTCATGCTGTCTCTATCTCTCTATCAAAAATAAATAAAACATTAAAAAAAAACATTAAAAACATTTTTAAAAAGAAAGTTTGGTAGATTTCTCCAGGGATACACCTGATCCTGGAGACTTTTCTTTGAGTTTTTAAGTTACAAATTCAATTTCCTTTATAGGTATACAGCTATTCATTTTTTTATATTAAAAAAATTTTTAATGCTTTGTTTATTTTGTTTTGAGAGAGAGACAGACAGCATGAGCAGGGAGGGAGACACAGAATCAGAAGCAGGCTCCAGACTGTGAGCTAGTGGTCAGCACAGAGCCCGATGTAGGGCTTGAACCCACAAACCGTGAGATCATGACCTGAGCCAAAGTCAGACACTTAACCGACTGATTCACCCAGGCGCCCCACTTACAGAGCTATTCAAATTGTCTATTTCATATTGAGTGAGTTGTGGTAGTTAATCTGTTTAAGGAGTTGGTCCATTTCATCTACTTTGTCAAATTTATGTATATAGAGTTGTTTGTTGTGTTATCCTTTGGAGTCTGCAAAGTCCATAGTGAACTTCCTGATTTTATTAGTAATATTGGTAATTTGTGTCTTCTCTTTTTTTCTTCTGTTTGTCAGTTACACTGATCTTTAAAAAAACAGTTTTTTGTTTAATTTTCCCTATTTTTCTATTTTCAGTTTCATTGATTTCTGCTCTTTATTATTTCCATCCTTTGCTTTGGATTTATTTTTCTCTTTTTCTGGTTTCTTGAGGTGGGAGTTTAAAGAATTGACTTGAGACTTTTCTTCTGTTCTAAGATAAGCACTTAGTGCTATAAATGTTCTCTTTCAGCACTACATTAGCTATGTCTCACAGCTTTTCACATATTCATTCAATTAATTATTTTAAAAAATTTCTCTTGTGGCACCTGGGTGGCTCAGTTGGTTGAGCATCCAGACTCTTGATTTTGACTCAGGTCATGATCTCAGGCCCATAGGATCGAGCCCCACATCAGGCTCCACACTGAACATGGAACCTGCTTAAGATATTCTCTCTCTTTCCTTCCCTCCCTCCCTCTCTGCCTCTTTTCACGCTCATGCTATCTCTCTTAAAAAAAAAATTCTCTTCAGCTTCTGTCTTTGGCCCACACATTGTTTAGAAGTCTGTTTTTAGTTTGCAAATGTTTGCAGATTTTTCTTTTATCTTTCTGTTTTCTGTTACTGATTTCTTTTTTTTTTTTTAATATTTTTATTTATTTCTAGGAGAGAGAGAGACAGCGTGAGCAGGGGAGGGTCAGAGAGAGAGGGAGTCACAGACTTCAAAATAGGCTTCAGGCTCTGAGTTGGCAGTCAGCACAGAGCCCGACGCGGGGCTCGAACCCACAAACCGCGAGATCATGACCTAAGCGAAAGTCAGACGCTTAACCAACTAAGCCACTCAGGCGCCCCATTCTGTTACTGATTTCTAATTTGACTGCATTGTGGTCTATTATTTTAAGTTTGTTGAGTTTTTTTTTAATCACCTAGAATCTATTTTATCTTGGTATATATTTAATAGATTTAATAGATACTTAAAAAGAAGTATGTTCTGCTGTTGTGTGGATGGTTCTATAAAGGTCACTTAAATTCTGATAGTTTTATTGTTATTAGACTTTCATTTTGTTTTATTGTAGTGTTTTGAGTATATCTCTTGGTTTAACTTCTTCAGTGGTTGCTGTGGATATTACACTGTATGTACAGTGTATACACTGTATACATACACTGTATACACACACATATATAGTATATTTGTATATATACGTACACATAAAATTTATCACAGTCTGTGGGTGTCAGCATTTTACCAGTTCAAGTGAATCATAGAAACCTTATCTCCCTTTACATTCCTTTATCCTCTCCCATTTGTAATTACTTGTCTTAAATATTTTCTCTACACATATTGAAAACCACACAATTGTGTTTGAGTCCAACATAATTTAGAACACTCGAGAAGGCTTTTGTATTTTCCTGGATTTTTGCTCCCACCACAGTCTTCTTTTCATTCTGATACACTGGTTTTGTTTTTGTTTTTTTGGGGTTTTTTTACATCTTTAATTATGTTTGACGTGGAGACCTAGCATCTATACTTGAACAAATCCTTCTAGATGATTCTTATGATTGTGGAAATTTGTGAAGCGGTAGGAACAATTACTGAGACTCCATGGTGGGGGGATGGGAAAATGTTCTTCATGTTTCAGACTTGTTTTATGTAGTGGTTGTATAGATGGATTTTCAGTTAAGGTAGTTGGAATATAATACTGTATATTAGGAACTTAACTAGTAATGTTAAGAATAAGAAATTGACTTTCTGTTCTTTTCGATCTAAAATGCAGACAGTACACGTTGTATTATGTTCATTATATGAGTAACTGTGACTAGTCTGAAACTAAAGAAAGAATGTGTGGTATAAGATTATTTATAAGGGATTCATTATAACCTGAACAGTAAAGCACTGTAAGAGTCCAATGCTGTCACACAGTTGTACATTATTATACAAAATCTTTCTTAAGGGTGCTTTTCTAGGGATAGTAGTTATTACCTGTGAGGTTGAAAAAGCAGTTTCTTTAGATACTGTATTTATTGCCCATATGGTGGTAACTATGGAGGATTTATTATGTTGTATAAAACTACTATTTTTTGAATGCTTGATTTTCATTATGCTAAGTGCTTTATATGTGCCATTGACCAACAGTCTTGTGAGGTAAATATCCTCAGTAAACTAAAGTTGAAAGAGGTTAAGCAGTAACTTCACTAAGAGCAACTTTAAATCAGACCTCCACTCTAACACCCATCTTAATCTTAGTGAAAGGTAGAACTATGTAATCTAGGCATTTATTAATACTTAGATGTCATACATTGTGCTATTGATCAGGATTCAAAAATGAATGATAATATTGTAATTCCTTTCAAAGAATTTACATGATCTAAACAGGATGATAAGGGGGCCTCCATCATGGAAACAAATTCTTGCAATGCAATATAGTTATTTCTCCATAATACAATTATAGCTTATTTTGTACAATTATGTTATGAAAAATAATTTCATTTTAAACCACAGATTTGAGAAGATCTGATCACCTGGAATTAAAGTTGGTTCAGAAACCTTTTCAGCTGCAAAAATGTTGGAGGAAGATATGGAAGTGGCTATCAAGATGGTGGTTGTAGGGAATGGAGCAGTTGGAAAATCAAGTATGATTCAGCGATATTGCAAAGGCATTTTTACAAAAGACTACAAGAAAACCATTGGAGTTGATTTTTTGGAGCGACAAATCCAGTATGTACTTGGCCATTTTATCCCCTCAGTTTTGATTTGTGAACTATATCTAAGACTTTCATTGGAATACTAATTGCAATACAGTCCAAGGTTAGGAGTCTAGTGACAGTGACTTAATGAGACAGTTGGTGGTGGTTTTTATATCATTATTGTGTATCTTTTTTTTCTTTTTCTTTTTAGTGTTTCAAGTTTCTTTATGATTCCAGTTAATATTCCTGTGTGTATCTTTATTCTCCTGCCTTTTTCTCATCTTTTGTCCATCTTCCCTTCCTCATTTCTCCCTTTTTCTCATTCTCCCCTCCCCACTTTCTATCTTGTATCTGGTGTTATATTTATTAGTGGCACCCTGCATACCTCTTAAACTCAAACTGATGCTTGACTCTAATGAGATTTCTGTCCCATATAGGCACAACTTGGAGATTTTGTAGGTTCTGTTCCAGACTACCACAATAAAGCAAGTCAAATTAATTTTTTGGTTACACAGTACATATAAAAGTTATGTTTACAGTATACTGTGGTCTATTAAGTATGCAAGAGCATTATGTCTAAAAAAATGTACATACCTTAATTTAAAAATACTGTATTGCTAAAAAATGCAACCATCCTCTGATCTTTCACTGAGTCTTAATCTTTCTGTTGGTGAAGGGTCTTGCCTTCATATTAATCAGGGCAGGGGTTATTGAAGGTTAGGGTGGCTATGGCAATTTCTTAATATAAGACAACAGTGAAGTTTGCCTCATTAATTTACTCTACCTTTCAGGAGTGATTTCCCTGTAGCATGTGATGCTGTTTGATGGCATTTTACCCACAGTAGAACTTCATTCAAAATTGGAGTCAATTCTCTCAAACCCTGTTGAATCACTATATTGTACACCTGAAACTAATATAACGCTGTATGTTATACTATAGTGCAATTAAAATTAAAAACTTTAAAAAAGTTCTCTTGGGGGTGCCTGGGTGGCTCCGTCAGTTAAGCATCTGACTTCAGCTCAGGTCATGATCTCACGGTTTGTGGGTTCGAGCCCCACATCAGGCTCTGTGCTGACAGCTCAGAGCCTAGAGCCTGCTTCGGATTCTGTGTCTCCCTCTCTCTCTGACCCTCCCCTGCTCGCTCTCTCTCTCTCTCTCTCTCTCTCTCTCTCTCAGAAATAAATAAAACATTAAAAAAATGTTTTTTAAGTTCTCTTAAATCCCACTGCTACTTTATCAGCTGAGTTTATTTAATATTTTAAATCCTTTCTTGTCATTTCAACAGTCTGCACAGCATCTTCACCAGAACTAGATTCCATGTCAAGAAACCACTTTCTTTGCCCATTTATAATGAGCAGCTCCTTATCTGCCCATGTTTTATCATGAGATTGCAGCAATTCAGTCACACCTTCAGGCTCCATGTCCTGCTATTTCCACCACATCTGCAGATACTTCCTCCATGGAAGTCTTTGAACCCTTCAAAGTCATCCATGAGGGTTGGAATCACCTTCTTCTAAAGTCCTGTTGATGTTGATATTTGACCTTTTCCAGTGAATCACAAATGTTCTTATTGGCATTTACAGTGGTGAATTCTTTCTATAAAGTTTTCAGTTTACTTTCCCAGATCTCTCAGAGGAATCGCTGTCTATAGCAGCTATAGCCTTACAGAATATATTTCTTAAATAGTAAGACTTGAAAGTCAGAATTCCTTCTTGATCCATGGGTTGCAGAGTGGATGTGTGTTAGCATCCACACAACATTCTCTCATTGTACATCTCCATTAGAGCTCGTGGGTGACTAGGTCCATTGTCAATGAGCAGTCATACTTTGAAGGGATTTTTTTCCTGAGCAGTAGGTCACAACAGTGGGCTTAAAATATTTAGTAAACCATGATGTAAACAGATGTGCTGTCATTTAGGCCTTGTTGTTCCATTTATAGAGCACAGGCAGGGTAGACTTAGTATAATTCTGAAGGGCCATAGAATTTTCAGAACAGTAAATAAGTATTGGCTTCAACTTAAAGTCACCAGCTGCATTAGCTCCTAACAAGGGAGTCAACCTGTCCTTTGAAGCTTTGAAGCCAGGCACTGACTTCTCTCTAGTTATGAACATCCTTGATAGTATCTCCTTCCAATAGACGGCTGTTTCATCTACACTGAAACTTGGTGACTTAGTGTAGCTGCCTTCATTAATTATCCCAGCTAGATCTTCTGGATAACTTGCTGCAGCTTCTGCATCAGCACCTGCTGCTTCACCTTGTGCTTTGATGTCATAGAGACAACATCTTTCCTTAAACCTCATGAGCCAGTCTCTGCTAGTTTCAGATTTTTCTTCTTCAGTTTCCTCACCTCTCTCTGCCTTTATAGAACTGAGGAGAGTTAAGGCCTTGCTCTGGATTATTACGCTTTTGGTTGAGGGAATGTTATGGCTGGTTATATTTTCTGTCCAGATCACAAAAACTTTTCTCCATATAAGCAGCACAGCTATTTTGCTTTCTTATGTTCTATGTGTTTACTGGAGTAGGTACATTTATTTATTTAGTTAGTTAGTAGGTAAGTAATTAAGTAAGTAAATAAGTAAATAATCTCTGTGCCCAATTTGGGGCTTGAGTTCACGACCCTGAGATCAAGAGTTGTATGCTCTACTGACCGAGCCAGCCAGGCACCCTTGGGGCAGCACTTTTCATTTCCTTCAAGAATTTTTCCTTTGCATTCACAGCTTGGCTAACTGGCACAAGAGGCCTAGCTTTCAACCTGTCTCAACTTTCTTCTTTTTTTTTTTTTTAATAGTTTATTGTCAAGTTGATTTCCATATAACACCCAGTGCTCATCCCCACAAGTGCCCTCTTCCATGCCCATCACCCCCCTCCCCCTCTCCCCCACCCCATCTGCCCTCAGTTTGTTCTTGGCATTCAAGAGGCTCTCATGGTTTGTCTTCCTCCCTCTCCCCCACTATTTTTCCCCTTCTTCTCCCCCATGGTCCTCCATTAAGTTCCTCCTAATCCTCCTATACATAAAAATATATGGTATCTGTCCTTCTCTGCCTGACTTATTTTGCTCAGCATAACACCCTCAAGGTCCATCCATGTTGCTACACATGGCCAGATTTCATTATTTCTCAATGCCATGTAGTATTCCATAGTATAGATAAACCACATCTTCTTGATCCATTCGTCTGTTGATGGACACTTAGGCTCTTTCCATGTTTTGGCTATTGTTGAGAGTGCTGCTCTGAACATTGGGGTACATGTGTCCCTATGCATCAGCACTACTGTATCCCTTGGGTAAATTCCTAGCAGTGCTATTGCTGGGTCCTAGGGGAGTTCTATTGTTGATTTTTTGAGGAACCCCAACACTGATTTCCAGAGGGGCTGCACCAGTTTACATTTCCACCAACAGTGTAGGAGGGTGCCTGTTTCTCCACATCCTCGCCAGCATCTAGAGTCCTCTGATTTGCTCATTTTAGCCACTCTGAGCTTGTCTCAACTTTCAACATGCTTTCCTCACTGCTTAATCATTGTAAGTAGGGGAGGAATAGGGAGACGGGGAGAAACAGAATCTGAAGCAGGCTCCAGCACAGAGCCTCATGGAGGGCTTGAACTCACAAACTATGAGATCATGACCTGAACCCAAGTCGGATGCTTAACCAACTAAGCCACCCAGGCGCCCCTGGCTTTTGATTTAAAGTCAGAATTATGTGGCTCTTCCTTTCACTTGAACAGTTAGAGGCTGTTATAGGGTTATTATTTGGCCTAATTTCAATATTGCTATGTCTAGGGAATAGAGAGGCCCAAGAAGAGGGAGAGAGATGGGGGAATGACTGATAGTAGGACAGTGAGAACACATACAACATTGATCCATGTAGTGTGCTATCTTAAATAGAAGCGGTTTGTGGCACCCAAAACAATTGTAGTAACATTAAAGATCACTATTCACAGATCACCATAACAAATATGATAATAATGAAAAAATTTGGAATATTTTAAGAATTACCAAAATGTGGCACAGAGACTCAAAGTGAGCAGAAGCTGTTGGAAAAATGGCGCTAATAGGGGCACCTGGGTGGCTCAGTTGGTTGGGCAGCCAACTTCGGCTCAGGTCGTGATCTCATGGTTCATGGGTTCGAGCCCCGCGTCGGGCTCTGTGCTGACAGCTAGCTCAGAGCCTGGAGCCTCTTTCGGATTCTGTGTCTCCCTCTCTCTCTGACCCTCCCCTTCTCACGCTGTCTCTCTCAGAAATAAATAAAAAACATTTAAAAAAAATTTAATCTTCTTAAAAAAAGGAAAAATGGCACTGATATGATTGTTAAATGCAGGGTTGCCAAAAACTTGTAATTTGTTAAAAAAAAAAAAAAAGTATCTGTGGAGCAGAGTAAAACAGAGTGCATAAGGGGCGCCTGGGTGGCTTAGTCGGTTAAGCGTCCAACTTTCGCTTAGGTCATGATCTCGCAGTTCGTGGGTTCGAGCCCTGCATCGGGCTCTGTGCTGACTGCCAGCTCAGAGCCTGGAGCCTGTTTCAGTCTGTGACTCNTGACTGCCAGCTCAGAGCCTGGAGCCTGTTTCAGTCTGTGACTCCCTCTTTCTCTGACCCTCCCCTGCTCACGCTGTCTCTCTCTCTCTCCTAGAAATAAATAAAACATTTAAAAAAAAAAAAAAGTGCATAAAATGAGCCATACCTACTTTATGTAAAAGGGAAGTTACCTGCCTCTCAGGATAGTTTTCAACTCTTATATTGTGGGATACTAAGACTGTCTAGAAGTTAGAGAGTTGATCATTTGTTTTAAAAAATAAGAACAGATTTGGCAGAATTAAATACTCCTGTGAAAAAGAAATCTTACTTTAGGAGATCCATTTGGATTCTAAAACACATTAAAAGTAAGAGTTTTTGTCATTAGTCCTCAGAACTTTTAAGATATTTTATTTTTTTTTTATTTGAGTATAGTCAGCACATAATGCTACATTAGTTTTAGGTATACAGTGGAATGATTCAACTCTCTGGGTTAAGCTGTGTTCACCACAAGTGTAGCTACATCTGTTACCATAAAACGCTGTTACAATATCATTGACTACTTTTTTTATGCTGTACCTTTTGATACAAGTCCTGTGACTTGACTTTTGAAATAAATCCTGTGACTTATTCATTCCATAACTAGGAGCCTATATCTCCCACTGCCCTTCATTCATTTTGCCCATTCCTCCACACCCCATGCCTGTGTGTATATATGTGTGTGTGTATATGCGTATGTCACACACATACATATATTTATTTTTTAAGTGTTTGATTATTTTTGAGAGAGAGCAAGTGGGGTAGATGCAGAGAGAGAGGGAGACAGTGGGTCTGAAGCGGGTTGTGCACTCACAGCAGAGAAACCAGTGTGGGGCTCGAAGGCATGAACTGTGAGATGATGACCTGAGCTGAAATTAAGAGTCAGATGCTTAACTGATTGAGCCACCGAGGAGCCCCAGAAATAAGTAACATTAAACAAATCTGACTAGCCTAGATATTAGCATTAAAGATAATTGTGTTCATTGTTTTAAAGACTGTTCAATTTCTAATCTGCATTTTATTATCCTCATTTATTTAGTTATTTATTAAGAGAGAGGGTGCGAGTAAGCTAGAGAGAGAGAGGAAGAAGTGGGGCTCACCTGAAGTGGGGCTCGAGCTCACCCTGTGTAGGACTTGTCCTCATGAACTGTGAGATCATGACCTGAGCCAAAGTCAGATGCTTAACAACTGAGCCACCAGGTGCCCCTATTTCCGTTTTTTAAAGATACTTCTGTGTTTACTTCCTTTCTCAGATATTTTAAGAGAATTCATTTTAAGTCTTCATAGTATTCATTTTTGTACTTGTTATCTGAACCAAATTAATATTTAAAAAAATTTTTTTAATGTTTATTATTTTTGAGAGAGAATATGAGTGGGGGAGGGGCAGAGAGATAGGGAGACACAGAATCTGAAGCAGTCTCCAGGCTCTGATCCGTCTTCTCAGAGCCTGACATGGGGCTAAAACTCACAAACTGCGAGATCATGACCTGAACTGAAGTCAGCCGCCCAACTGACTGAGCCACCCAGGTCCCTCCCAAATTAATATTTTAAGTATACAGTTGATCCTCGTTATTTGTAGATTCCATATTTATACTTTAAGTACACTGTTGATTCTCATTATTTGTAATTCCATATTTGTAAATTCATCTACTTGCTAAAATTTATTTGTAACCCCAGAATCAATGTGCTCAGTGCTTTGGTGATCATTCATTGATATGCACACAGCAGTAAATATTTGGTATCTTACACGCACATTCTTAGGTTAGGTCGAACAAGGCGTCCTTCTTTTTTCGTCTTTCATACTATAAACAAGTGTTTTTTGTGTCTGCTTTTGTCCCAGATTTTTGTGCTTTTTGTTGAGGATGTCACTGTTTAACATGGCCCCCAAGCATAGTGCTGTGTAGTTTCCCTAAGTAGAAGAATGCTATGATGTGCCTTATAGAGAAAATATGTGTGTTAGGTACACTTCATTCAGGCATAAGTTACAGTGCTGTTGGCTTTGACTTCAGTCTTAATGAATTAACATTATGCATTAAATAAAGCTTCTTTAAACAGAACCACAAAAAAACCAAAGTTATGTATTGATTGGTTGGGGAGAATGTGACCAGGGCTCACAGGACCGTAACCCTGCATTTCTCCTAGGAGCAGTGTTTCAGTATTTCATAATTCAGCGTTTGCAGTGACTTTATAGAACAGAACCAAGGTAAATAAGACAATGGACTATAATGACAAAGTAAGAGTAAATTTTTAAGTCGAAGGGCAACCAGGCAGGTAAACTGCTTGCTTTCGCTTATTCTTTCCTTCTTCCCTCATTCCCTCCTCCGCTCCTCTCCCTTCCTCCTTCCCTCCTCTCCTTTCCTCCTCCCCTCCTCTCCCTTCCTCCTTGCCTCCTCTCCCTTCCTCCTTGCCTCCTCTCCCTTCCTCCCTCCCTCCCTTCCTTCCTTCTTTCCTCTTGCTTCTTCCTCTCTTTTTTCTTTCTTTCACTTCTCTCTTTCGTTTCTGTCTTTCATTTCTTTCCTTCCTTATTCTTATTCTATCACTTGTGCACCAGGACCCATTAGAATTTTATAGCAAGAGGAGAGCAAGTATTAACATAAGGAAACCCCCTTGCCAGTGCTGCTAGCCTTAGAGCCCCACTGTCTGTGACTGGTACAAAGGAGAAAACAGGACACGTAAACTCAAATCATGTATAAAGTTATAGTTTTGAGGGAATGTCTTTTCCCTCTGTTGGTAATAGTATCAACATTTAAAAGCACTCAGACTTATTCAGAGTGAACACCAATAATGTAGTTTTAAAGCCTTCAAATCTTTTAAAAAATAGGCACAAAGTTATGTTGCTAAAGACATTTTCTTTTACATATGAAATAAATTCATCTCTTGTTTCAGAGTTAATGATGAAGATGTCAGACTAATGTTATGGGATACAGCAGGTCAAGAGGAATTTGATGCAATAACAAAGGCCTACTATCGAGGTAAATTGTGGTTTATTGGGGGGGGCATGTTCTTTTGGCTAAGCAAAGAACTTCACTTTTTTTTATTCCACATAGAAGGGTTTCTTTTTAAGAATGCTTAAATTAATTTCAGAGATTTTTAAAAATCTCTTAGGTCATCATTCTCCTAATGATCTTGTTGAGTGGTAAATAATACTTTGAACTATAGATCATTTGTCTCCACCTTGGAATTATATGACTCACATAGGCATTCCCAGTTCTAATCAGTTAGACACTGTTAAATGCCCATTTTTTTAAATGTTTATTTTTGACAGAGAGACAGAGAGAACTTCTCTGAGCAGAGGAGGGACAGAGAGGGAGACAGAGGATCCAAAGCAGGTTCTAGGGTTGGGGGTATAGCTCAGTGGTAGAGCATTTGACTGCAAAGCAGTTTCTAGGCTGTAAGCTGAGAACAGCAAGCCCAATGCAGGGCTTGAACCCACAAACTGCCAGATTATGACCTGAGCCAAAGCCAGACGCTTAACTGACTGAGCCATCCAGGTGCCCCATAAATGCCTATTCTGACCATATCTGCAAATAAGATGATATTTTGTTATGACCCATGAAGTTGTGTGGATAAAGCCACCTCAGCGCTCTGAGTTCAGAAAGGTGTAAGACACATGTGAAAGGCAAGAACTACAGCTATAGGATTTAAGACTCTAAAATGTGGGGTTAAATTCCTCAAGAAAAGCTGACATTTATTTATTCATTTACTTAATTATTTATTTACTTATTTATTTATAAATTTACATCCAAGTTAGTTAGCACATAGTGTAATAATGATTTCAGGAGTAGAATCCAGTGATTCATCTCCTACATATAACACCCAATGCTCATCGCAACAAGTGTCTTCCTTAATTTCCCTTGCCCATTTAGCCCCTCCCCCCTCCTACAACCCCTCTGGCAACCCTATTTGTTCTCTATATTTAAGAGTCTCTTATGTTTTGTCCTCCTCCCTGTTTTTATGTTATTTTTGCTTCCCTTATGTTCATCTGTTTTGTATCTTGAATTCCACATATGAGTGAAGTCATGATATGTCTTTCTCTGACTAATTTCACTTAACATACACTCTAGGGGCACCTGGGTGGCTCAGTCGGTTAAGCAGCCAACTTTGGCTCAGGTCATGATTTCACGGCTCATGGGTTCGAGCCCCACGTCAGGCTCTGTGCTGACAGCTAGCTCAGAGCCTGGAGCCTGTTTCGGATTCTGTGTCTCCCTCTCTCTCTGGCCCTCCCCTGTTCACGCTGTTTCTCACTCTCAGAAAAAAAATAAAAAATTAAAAAATTAAAAATAAAAAAAATACACGCTAGTTGTTGCATATGGTAAGATTTCATTCTTTCTGATTGCCAAGTAATACTCCATTGTGTAAATATACCATATCTTTATCCATTCATCTGTTGATGGACATTTGGGCTCTTTTCATACTTTGGCTATTGTTGATAGTACTGCTGTAAACACCTGAATGTGCCCCTTTGAAACAGCACACCTGTATCCTTTGGATAAATACCTAGTAGTGCAGTTCCTGCGTTGTAAGGGAGGAACTGAAATTTTAGATGGAACTTAAAGTTTCCGGTAACATTTTCCTATAAAATTTTGTCCTTTTCTTTTGAAATTTATGACAGCATTTAGTGTTTCTATAAACTCATTGTGGTGGTGATTGCAATGAGAACAAAATAAGTGGAGGTTTGATATAATACCATGTAGGCTCTATAATCTGTGCTTTTGAATATATATCTTATTTTTTCCCACTTTTGGAAATGTGGGATTTATAATAATAACGGCTGCTGAGGTATAATGAAAACACAATTACGCTAACGTCTTTGACCAAAGAAGTTGCCTTCCCAACTTGGTACCAGGGAAACTTGACTTCCATTGCCTACTCTCAGAAGACATTTTGGTTCCTTGAGAAATTAAGAGAGGTATACCTCTCAGGTATTATTCTAATAATGTCGCCACTACTTCTCATTCTTTTACTGTGTCCTTAAAGACTTCCCATCTGCAGTAGTTTGGACTGTTGCTCTCCTATGCATGCCATTTGGATCTTGAGCACCTATAACATGGTATGAGGCAGGAATTATGTCCTTAGTATCCAAAGCTCTTACGTTAGATGGCATTTTTATCAAATTATTAATTTCATGAGCATTGATACAAAAGATCCTAAGAGGAAAGTTAATTCTTTTTTTTAATGTTTATTTTTGAGGTGGGGGAGGGGCAGAGAGAGTGGGAAAGAGAGAAAATCCCAAGCAGGCTTCACGCAGCACAGAGCCCAACGTGTGACTCGATCCCATGACCTGTGAAATCACAACCCGAGCCAAAACCAAGAGTCAGATCCTTAGCCAACTGAGCCACCGAGGTGCCCCAGTTCTTTTTTTTCTTTTTAACATATTTTAAGTTGTCCATTTTATTTATTTATTTATTTATTTATTTATTTATTTGGGGGAGAGAGAGAGAGAAAGTGTGTGTACATTGGAGAGGGGCACTGGGAGAAAGAGAGAATCTTAAGCAGCCTTCACACTTAGTGCAGAGCCTGACACGGGGGTGGATCACACCCTGGGATCATGACCTGAGCTGAAATTGAGAGTTGGATACTCAAGACTGACTAAGCCACCCAGAGGCCCCAGTAAAGTTAATTATTGAGTAAGATTATTTGTATTTTCTTAGATTATTACCACCATGCCCTCGTGCCCCATTCACACAGGAGAAACAAAACAAAAAACCTAGGTGGAAACATCAAAAAATAGTAGTAATATATGAGATTTTCATTGTTTTCATCTAGCTTTTTTCTCTAAATTCTTGGCTTGAAATACATGTTTTTTTGTGAAGAAAAAAGATAGGTTGGGTTCTTTTTAAGCTTGTGACAATTTGATTATGTCAGTATTCCTTTTTAACTGTTATGGGTTATTGTGGAGAATGTATTTAGCATATGTATCTCTAATTTATAAAACAAAACTGTGTTTATAATTGACCCAAAATAAAGTTTAACTTGAAAAAAGGCAAAACTGGTCAAAGTCAAAAATGATTTGATTTGGGTATAAATAGAAAGGAGAAAATGTTGGAACCATAGAGTTAAATAGATCTCTTGGGTCCTTGATTTTTTAAAAAAAGACCAGGTAGCAAAAAATATTTTTATTTCTACTGTACTTGAGGAATTAATGCTTTCTTCAGTTTTTTCCCATGAGGCTGTGTTCATTATCTTTTAAATTTCAAAATTTGACTCATCTGGCTTGTGTAATTCTTGATTAGTACTTTTTAGGTGTCCACATATCACAGTTTCTCTTTGCTACTTCTACAAAAAGCACTCTTTGTCAGAAACTAAAAAGAGATCCCGTAATTGTTAGTATTTACATCTTAATTTACTGTGGGTGTTTAAATTTTTTTTCCACTTGGTTTCCACTTGGCCTAAAAGGTTTTAAACAGCTTTGATATCCCTACATTTAACATTTTAACTTAAAATGATCTTCAGCATATAAATAGACCTCTGTTAAAAGCAAGGTGTAATTTTTTTAGTCAACCATGTTAAAGTGGCAAAGAGAATGGGATACTGAGACAGGTCTTAAGTTTCAGTTGCTTTTTCTAAGTTGTAAGAATAAACATCTCGTCCCAGTGGCAATTATCTGTGAATTTGAGAAATGGCATACAGAATATTTTTATGCTTTTCTTTGGGGTTTCATCAGATGCTTTTCTGACAACAGAAGTAATAATTTCAAACTGACTTTACAAAGAAAAGTGGAAGTATCATAGCTTTTAGTTATGGTTTGTTCTTCCTGTAACCTCATTGATTCTCCTGGCTTGCCTCTCTCCCTTTGTGGGGTTCCTTCTCATGCTGATTTTCCTCCTGGTTGCAAGATTGCTACCATCAGCAATGGAAGCCACGTGCTTTGTTCACATCCCACAGCAATGGATTAAAAGTCCTGAGCTCTTATCTGATTAGATCACCCTTGACCAGATCACAGTAAGTAGTCAGAGGAATGTGATTACCCTAATTGGCTTGGTGCACTTAGGGCCTTCTCCCTCAGAGCAGAGGGTAAGTTCAGCCTGCCTAAACGGTGTGGCTACTATACGTAGGTGAGAGAGAGGTTTTCTTGGAGAGGGACGGGAATTGGATGCCAATTTTTTGCTACTAATATAGTTTCAAATGATGATGTAATTAAATAGAAGCAAAGACTAGGAAGAGAAGGTAAGGACTGGGAAGAATGCATTAAGTAAGATATCAATTTAGTGTTAGAAATACCATGCCTTATAAAATTAGGACTCAGATTTATATCCAAGAAATGTATTGTCCAAAATACATAAAAATTTTAAAAATTTATACTTAAAAAGAATTTTATTATAATTCATTTGAAAGGTCTCTCATGTCAGAAACCATTGCTTAAAGGAATAATTATGTTCTTAGAATGCTGTGTTACTTGTATAGTGAGACATGTTGAAACATAACCTTATGAAGGAAAGAGCACAGATCATACTAGGAACATTTAGGATCCCAAATGATTCCTTTTAAACTCTTAAGAAGTCCACTGTAGGCAGTAGACATCATTCCTTGTACAGAAAGTTACATACAATATAAAACAGATTTTCATTAATAGTTTTTTACTATGATTTGGTTCTGAGAAATGTTTCTAGCAATACATAGAAATCAGGTTACAGACTTGAGACCTGTTATCTGAGATTATCATCATATATAGAAGGAAACTTTTTTTTAACTGCCTTCTTTCACAAACATACGTGAATATAAATTGTTGAAAATGAAGTAGCTCTGGACAGGAAGCTATTTATAGATTTCAATTATAAATGCAAAAATTAAGGAACAACAGAATTAGACTATGCAGGTCTAATTTGTTTCAAAATTATATGAGCATGGAATCTGTGATAGATTGGTTCATTAAGTAATTTGTGTTTATTAAGTAAGTTGGTTAAGCTTCCAACTTCGGCTCAAGTCATGTTCACATGGTTTGTGGGTTCAGGCCCCCCATTGCGCTCTCTATTGTCAGTTAGGAGTGGGCTTTGGACCCTCTGTCCCCCTCTCTCCCCTCTCTGCCCTCCCATGCATGCGCTCTTTCTCTCTCTCTCTCTAAAATAAATATAAATGTTTAATTTTTTAATGTTTGTTTATTTTTGAGAGAGAGAAACACACACAGAGTGTGAGCAGGGGAGGGGCAGAGAGAGAGGGAGACACAGAATCCGAAGCAGGCTCCAGGCTCTGAGCTAGCTGTCAGCACAGAGCCCAGCGCGGGGGTCGAACCCACTAACTGTGAGATCATGACCTGAGCTGAAGTTGCACACTGACTGACTGAGCCACCTAGGCGCCCCCAAAATAAATAAACATTAAAAAATTTTAAATAATTTGTGTGCTTCACATTATATGGATTGTCAGCAAGAATAAGGGACAGGCATTTAAAATCCAGAATATTTTCTATAATAGTATATAAAGCCTTGTGTTTCTTATTAAATTTTATGCTGTGTTTTGTAGAGCAGTGTTTCTTAAACTGTAATATACACATGAATCCCCTGGGAACCTGTTGAAATGCAGTCTCTTAATTCAGTAGATCTGTGGGTGGCTATGAGATTCTGCATTTCTGCAACCTCCCAGGTGACTTTGATGCTGCTGGTCCACAGCCACACTCACAAGTCTAGAGACCATCTTTTAGGATCTTTCAGTAATTTGAGTACAGAATTACTGTCTATACAGTATGTCTCTTAAGGAGTATTTTATGAATTGCATCAGAAATAGTAACTTTTTTTGAAAGGCTTTACTAATTAGAAATGAGTATTTGCTGGGGCACCTGGATGGCTCAGCTGGTGAAGCTCAGGTCATGATCTTGCTGTTTGTTAGTTCGAGCCCCGCAACGAGCTCTATGCTGACAGCTCAGAGCTTGGAGCCTGCTTCAGATTTCGTGTCTCCCTCTCTTTCTGCCCCTCCCCTGCTCATGCTCTGTTTCTTTCTCTCTCTCAAAAATAAATAAACATTAAAAATTTTTTTTAAAATAAAGAAATAGGTATTTGTTAATGGTGATCTTATAATTACCACAATCAGATCTCTATGTTCCTGATATGTGGATAAGTGGAGTAGTTTGTTAATTATCAGAAGTGATTCTTTTGTGGGTGATTTACTGTTATCTATGATAACAAAGTAACTCCTAACGGTATGATTCTAAGGGTTTGTGGTATTGAAGGAAGACTGAATAGCAGGAAAATACAGGTCTTTTAAAAATATATGGAGGGGCGCCTGAGTGGCTCAGTCGGTTAAGCATCTGACTTTAGCTCAGGTCATGATCTTACCACTTGTGTGTTTGAGCCCTGCATCTAGTTCTGTGCTGACAGATCAGAGCCTGGAGCCTGCTTCAGATTCTGCATCTCCCTCGCTTTCTGTCTCTCCCCAGCTCGCGCTTTCTCTCTCTCTCTCTCTCTCTCGCTCTCTCTCTCAAAAATAAAACATTAAAATAAATATATGAATAGAAAACACTGGCTTCCTTTAAATGACAGGAGTGTAAAATATATCCAAATGACTGCAATAGAGAAATTAAAACATGATTAACTTTTCTTTAACGTTATCAATTTTTTTTCTTTTTTTTTTTTTTTTAGAGAGAGAGCGAGCGAGAGAGCGCATGCACATGTGCACACACATGGTAGGGGGAAGGGTAGAGGGAGAGAGAATCTGAAGCAGGCACCACACCCTGCGTGGAGCTCCATCTCACAACTGTGAGATCAATGACCCTGAGCCAAAATCAGGAGTTGGAAGCTCAACTGACTGAGTGGGTGGCAGATGTTCAAAGATGATACTTTCTCTAGGTGACTGTTCTGGATTCTTCCAAGGTTCCCATTTTTGGGGATATTTCTTCTGAGCACTTGATTCTTGCAGTTGCTTTGCTCCCTTGGTTCCCTTTGGGGGACTTGCATTCCACTTTACCCTTCCTTTGAGCTCCCATCACCCGATAAGCAGTCCTGTTAGATGTGAGTTAAGATGACCCCATATGCTAGCTTATCTCTTAGAGGTGGTTCACCTCTATCCGTATGTGCATTCTTTGTCTTGCCATTGGCAGGAGTGCCGTTACTTCCAAGTGCGGCTCTCTTTTTTTTGTCTTTTGGTCTTGCCCCTTTGCTCTCATTCCCAGCCTTGAATCACTGCACCGGCAATCCAGAGTGTCCTCTAGTGCCTGGGAACGTGTATCATGCTGCTTAAGTGGTCTTGCTTCTAGGTTGAGATGAAGGAGGCAATGATAGTACTCTCCCCCATAGCACCCCGCCGTAAAAGAGAGAGAGGGGTTGGAGTGTATGGCATTTTCTCTGAGAAAATCCTTTCCCCTTCTTCTCAATTTTTAACAAAATAATTGTTGAAGTGTTTGAGAGAGTTCCAAAGTGGTATAATGAATTTATGATCATTTCCTTCATAAATTCTGCAAAGAATGATCTTTCCACACATATTTAGAATCTGTTTTATTGGTACTTAAGTAAAATTTTTCTATAATGGGTCTTTCACTTAAAGTATATATTGTAAAGGACTTTTATGGTGGTGGTGGGGTGCTGGTTTTCGAAGCAGAAAAGAACCATAATGCATCACAATTTCACAGTGTATTTACCTGGATGGATGGATGGATGATAACATTCAGTTACGGGAAATTAAAACAAGTAGTTGTCCATCATTTGTCAGAATTATTAAATCTCTAAAAGTAATCCAGGTTGTCTGTTTTGTGTTTTTGGTTTTTCCTTTTGGTAATTTATTTAGGGTAAGTAGCTGAGGTGGTTGCAGCATCCAGTCTGAAGGCTTGATATCAGGGAACCATCCTGCTTCTGAGATTGTGTATCAATCTGAGATTGCAGCTGTTCTTGTTAGGACTTATTTCTGACATCTTGGTTCAGGTTTCATATTTGTTGTAGGTTTTTTGTTTGGGTTGTGTGTGTGTATTTTCTTTCCTCCTTTACTTTGGAGACATCTGGGTTAATAGTTATACATTCCCTTTGTAATCTTTTTTTAAATTGTTTTAAAGTTTATGTATTTATTGTGTGAGAGAGAGAGTGGGGAAGAGGTAGAGAGAGAAGGAGACAGAATCCCATGCAGGCTCCATGCTGTCAGCGCAGAGCCCGATTCTTTTTATTCTTACAGTGATTGCCTTTAACTTAAGATTCTGTCTTAGTTTGAATGCACCCCCACAATCACGTACCAAACAGTTCTTGGCACAACTTGGGGCTGATTTATTTGGTAGGTGACCCCAGAAAGAAGTGAGAGACTGGAGGAGAAGGGAGAAAAACCTATGAAGGTGCATTAATAACCTAATTATTACTGTAAGCAATTGGGGATCCATCCCTGTGAGGCATCAGGTAGACACGCCTCAAGATGGTCCCACCAAAGGGAAGCTGAGGTTTTATCTTATCTCCCGTACATTCAAGTTTTTCCCCAGGGGTATCAGTTCCTCTTAAAATAGGCTAAACCAAGGGTCTTTCTGAAAAAACCATGAGGCAGAAAAGCTGAGTACCACCTGCAGCGTATGCTTTGAGGTGGATGCTGACAACAGTCAGGACCTGTCCACAGCTGCAGTGAAACTCCGGTGTCTCTGCCTGTAGTTGTGTTATTGACCTCCCTGGATTGCTTAAACATTAATATTACATGTTCTTCATCTTTAGACTAGCCCTTTAGCATTTTTCCATATTTCTCTGGTGTCTTCCCACTAAGTCGCCCACTAAATAATTTTGAATTGTTATGGACATACTTTTATCTTTTGAGCACTGATTTTTTTTTTAATTTTTTTTTTTAATTTATTTCTAGGAGAGAGAGAGAGAGAGAGACAGCGTGAGCAGGGGAGGGTCAGAGAGAGAGGGAGTCACAGACTGAAACAGGCTCCAGGCTCTGAGCTGGCACTCAGCACAGAGCCCGACGCGGGGCTCGAACCCACAAACCGCGAGATCATGACCCAAGCGAAAGTCGGACGCTTAACTGACTAAGCCACCCAGGCGTCCCTGATTTTTTTTTTTTTAAGAGAGCATGTGAGCAGGGCAGAGGGGCAGATGGAGAGAGAATCTTTTTTATTTTTAATTTTTTAAATTTTTTTTTATTTTTGAGAGAGCACGAGCAGGGGAGGGTCAGAGAGAGAGGGAGACACAGAATCTGAGGCAGGCTTCAGGCTCTGAGTTGACAGCACAGAGCCCAACATGGGGCTTGAACTTATGAATGGCAAGATCACGACCTGAGCCAAAGTTGGATGCCTAACCTACTGAGCCACCCAGGTGCCTTGGAGAGAGAGAGAATCTTAAGCAGGCTCCTCACTCAGCACAGAGCCCGATTCAGGACTTGATCCCATGACCCTGGGATCATGACCTGAGCCAAAATCAAGAGTCTGACACTCAGCCACCCAAGCCACCTAGTATCCCCAGTCTTTGTTTTTTTAAACATTTTTCTTTTCTTAATCATTCTTGCTGCTCATATCTCTGGCACCATCTACTTAGTTTAAATCAAAGAATAAATTAATTATAAAAATTGGGGCAGGGAGCAGGGTACAACACAGACAGCTGTACCCTGATTCTTTCCAGGAATTTTGGGAACCACTGTTTCTTTGAATTGGAAAATAAAGTTTATATGTTAAAAATAAGCAGATTGCTACAAAGATGAGCTCAATATTTATTCACATAAAGTTGTCTTGATACACCTAAAGCTAATATCACATTTTATGCTTTAATTAAAAAATTGTTTGAATAGGTAAAAGTTATCCTCATCCTATATAGGATTGCTTCATTAATGTAAATAACATTTTTATTTTGTGATCTTACAGGAGCCCAGGCTTGTGTGCTTGTATTTTCTACCACAGACAGGGAATCTTTTGAGGCAATTTCCAGTTGGAGAGAGAAAGTAGTAGCTGAAGTTGGAGATATACCAACTGTGCTTGTGCAAAACAAGATTGATCTCTTGGATGATTCTTGTATAAAAAAGTAAGATGTCCACTTTTGAGGGGGAGGTGGTAATTCCATAAAGTTAAAACCTGTTTTAATTTATGCATAGATATTAAAAATTTAAGAAAGCTTTTATAGAGACCACCTTATGCTTAAAATTCTCTGTGAGCTATTTGGTCTGATTGGGTTGGGTAAAAAAAAGTTCACACAAAGTCATAGTAGAACAAATTAAAGGAATAAATTTTGAAGGCCCTTTTAGAATTCCAGTCTTATGTCTTACACCACAAATCCAGCTCTTGATGTTGTCAAATCTGGTTATAATAAGAATGTTAAGAAAAACATCCCTGTATGTTTTAATGTCTAGAGCATGGAGCTGTCCTGTGTGGATGAGTTCAAATGGATAAGTAGTTCAGATTCACGTTCTTTTATATATTCAGAAATAGGCTCAAATCTGTGAATAGAGGTATCTAGATAATTCTGTCTTAAGTATTTGTACATCATATTATTAACTTTTTGCTAGCTTTGAACATTTTTGCTTGGTTTTTACCTTATCGTTTTTTGTATGTTCTTATATTAGTGTATCTGTTGCTGTATAACAAATTAATCCAAAATTTAGTGGCTTAAAACAACAAAAAAATATTATTTCACAGTTTCTCTGAGTCAGGAATTTGGGAGTGGCTTAACCAGGTGGTTCTGGTTCAGGTTTTTCATGAGGTTACAGTCAAGATGTTGCCTAAGACTGTAGTCACGTAAAGGCTTGACTAGGGCTTGGAGGGCCTACTTCCAAGTTGGCTCATCACTTGACTGTTGTCAGGAGGCCTTAGCTCTTTGCCATGTGGACCTCCCCAGGGCTGCTTGAGTGTTGTCACAATATAGCAGCTGGCTTCTCCCAATCACATGATTCAAGACAGAACAAAGCAGAAGCCATAATGTCTCTTATGACCTAGTCTCAGAAGTCCCCTGCTGTCACCTCTGTACGTTATTGATCACACAGACCAACCCTGATTCCATTGTGGGAGGAGGCTGTACAAGGATGTGAAACCAGGAGGAGGGCGAGGCATGGGGTGGAATCCTTGAGAACCATTTTAGAGCAGAGCGACTACAGTCTCAATAAAACTAAGATCAGGAGCCAGGATAAAACTACCATTAGGACTCCCCTTTTGTAGACGCAGTTGTTAATATAATGACTTTGGCCTTGGCAGCAAAGTGGTTTCATAGGCAGCAAGAGTGAAGAAAGGAATGCAGTGTAAGACTGTCAGTATGCAATTAAATTCAAATGTTTTTAAAGACAAGAGAGAAAAGTAAGTATTATATAAAGAAAAGTGATATTTAGCTATTTTAAGGCTAGAGTATGTGACTATAGAACTGACAGCGTCATGGTGTTTATTCCACAAGAGTACTGAAAACTAAAAATCCTAAAAGAGCACTGAGAACATGGTTTTTAACTGGTCTGGAAGGTCTGACACCCCCACCCTCACCCCCAAGCTGTATTCAGTAAATGTAATAAAAATGACTTTTTAAAACAGGCTATCAGAAAGTACCTTTATAAGCACTTTTTTCTTTTGTATATAGTGAGGAAGCTGAGGCACTGGCAAAAAAGTTAAAGCTAAGATTCTACAGAACGTCAGTGAAAGAAGATCTAAATGTGACTGAAGGTAAACTGCCTTTTTAAAAAAAAATTAATAACAGGAAGTTTGTTTTATCCTGTTTATGCTTTTTCTGTGATGTTGTTTGGAAATCCTATGTAATGAGAACAGAATTTTCTCATCACCTATCATTAAGTAAAATTTAAATGCGTACTGCTCCTTAGAGTCCTTAACTATTTACTAATCTTTTTTTAATTAATTTTTTAAAGTGTATTTATTTATTTATTTTTTTTTAATTTTTTTTTTTTAATGTTTTATTTATTTCTAGGAGAGAGAGAGAGAGAGACAGCGTGAGCAGGGGAGGGTCAGAGAGAGAGGGAGTCACAGACTGAAATAGGCTCCAGGCTCTGAGCTGGCAGTCAGCACAGAGCCCGACGCGGGGCTCGAACCCACGAACCGCGAGATCATGACCTAAGCGAAAGTCGGACGCTTAACCGACTAAGCCACCCAGGCGCCCCTAAAGTGTATTTATTTTGAAAGAGAGACACTGCAAGTAGGGGAGGGGCAGAGGGAGAGAGAGACAGAGAATCCCAAGCAGACACTTCACTGTCAGTGCAGAGCTCAATGTGGGACTCGAACTCACAAAACTGTGAGATTGTGTGACCTGAGCTAAAACCAAGAATTGGATGCTTAACCGATTGAGCCAGCTAGGCACCCCTTTACTGATGTCTTAGAATATTTGCTGTCTATAGCAAAACTCTGGTGGGTTTTATTTTGGTTTTACCTTTAAAAATATAGCTGGGGGTGCCTGGGTGGCTTGGTTGGAAAGCATTGGATGCTCAGTTTTGGCTCAGGTCATGATCTACAGTTTCATGAGTTTGAGCCCCATGCTGAGCTCTGCACTGACAGTGTGGAGCCTGCTTGGGACTCTCTCTGTCTCTCTCTCTCTGTCTCTCTCTCTCTCTCTCTGTCTCTCTCTCTCTCTCTGCCCAGCCCCTGCTCATGCTGTCTCTGTCTCTCTCAAAATAAATAAATAAACTTAAAAAAATTTTTAAAAAGAAAAATATTACTGTGTATATGTGAGTATGTATATATGTATGTGTTTTTCTTTTTTTTCCAATTTTAATTGGTCTTTTAATGTTATTTTAAATATATAAAATTATATATAAATATATAAAAATATAAATTGATATAGCTTATGAATGTATTCAATTTGATATTCTGTCTTTTACACCTACCATCATTTCACAAGTATCTCTATTTAACAAAATCACTTCTAATGACTGCATGTGGGAGCTCTGAATTTCGTATGATTAACCATAAATTACTTTTAACATTTTCACTATAATTGAATATTTAGGTTGTTTTCAATTGTAAATTACACTATAATAAATATCTTTGGTGCATAAAACTGTTCACATTTGTGATTATTTCCTTAGAAGCTATTCCTAAAAATAAAGTTACTGATTCAAAAAGCCGGAGCATTTTAAGACTCTTAATACATAAGATTGAATCGTTTTACAGAATATTTGTTCAAATCTACATTTCTCTCTGCAGTTTCACCAACATTAGTGCCTTTGATAAATAACACTAATAAAGCTGTAGATTTTTCCATATTTTCTAGCTATTTGTATTTCATCTGTTGATGAATATCCATTCATGTTTTCTACCTATTTTTCTAAAATTTGGATCTCTGTTTTTCTTATAAATTTATTGAGATGCAGCATAAAGATTTTAAAATATATTAACCTTTTGTCATATTAATTATTGATATTTTTATTATGATATTTTGTTTTAGAGAATATTTTATATGCAGGTGAATTTATTCTTAATTTATTTTGGTCTTTCATCCTTTTTTTTTTTTTTAATAGTTTATTGTCAAGTTGGTTTCCATATAACACCCAGTGCTCATCCCCACAAGTGCCCTCCTCCATGCCCAGCACCCCCCTTCCTCTCCCCCACCCCCACCCCCATCAGCCCTCATTATGTTCTCGGCATTCAAGAGTCTCTCATGGTTTGCCTCCCTCCATCTCCCCAACTATTTTCCCCCTTCTTTTCCCCCATGGTCCTCCGTTAAGTTCCTCCTAATCCACCTGTATGTGCAAACATATGGTATCTGTCCTTCTCTGCCTGACTTATTTCGCTCAGCATAACACCCTCAAGTTCTACCCATGTTGCTACACATGGCCAGATTTCATTCTTTCTCATTGCCTGCATGTATGTGTTTTTCATGCATACCTTTTTAAGTTACTGAATTGAGAATTCTACAAGAGTGGATATTCCATTAGGTAGTTATAATGACCTTAATTTAATGTGGTGTTTTTGTTTTGTTTTTTATGTAATCTCTACCCCCAATGTGGGACTCGAACTCATGACCCCAAGATCAAGAGTCTTATGCTCTACCGACTGAGCTAGCCAGGGCGCCTCTAATCTTAATTTGTTTAATAATATTTCCCAGTTTAAGAAAGTGAGATTAGAGAAAGATGAATAATAAGAATTGCTGCTTATTTTATTAGATTGCAACTCAATTGTTGCATCATTAATTATTGAATTATTTTTTTCACCTAAAGAAAGGGGACATCTTTTCAAGACTGAGTTAGTATAGTGCTGCTGAAGTTGATCCCTATTCAAGTACCTAAGACTAATGACTACAAGTATTATTTCATTTCTTTACTAATAAAATATATATATATATTAGTATTACCATTGTACTTAGGTATTGCTCATGTAATTTCAGAAGTTGAATTTTTTCAATTGGATTGTATACTTCTTTTTTTAATGTTTATTATTTATTTTGAGAGAGAGAGAGAGAGAGCATACATGCATGCAGGGGAGGAGTAAAGAGGAGAGAGAGAGAATCCCGACATGAGGCTCCATCTCACCACCATGAAATCATGACCTGAGCTGAAATCAAGAGTTGGACGCTTGGGGCGCTGCAGTGGCTGAGTGCGTTAAGCATCTGACCCTTGATTTCAGCTTAGGTCATGATCTTGCAGTTTGTGAATTTGGGTCCTGCGTTGGGCTCTGCAATGACAGTGCCGAGCCTGCTGCGGATTCTCTCTATCTCCCTCTCTCTGTGCCCCTCTCCCACTCATACTGTCTCTCTCTCTCTCTTTTTCTGTCTCTCACAATAAATAAATAAAAGAGTCAGTCAGTTAACCAAGTGAGCCACGCACATGCCCCTAGATTTTATACTTTAATGTAATTTTAAATGTGTTTAGTAAGGATAAATAAAAGAATATAAATATTTCAAAAATAAATAAATGTATAAGGTATTATAGTGAGTGATATAAAATAACTGATTTTACATGCAGAAATTATACTGACCTGGTAAGGTTATTGTTTTTGTTTTTATTCTAGTATTTAAATATTTGGCTGAAAAGTATCTTCAGAAACTCAAACAGCAAATAGCTGAGGACCCAGAATTAATGCATTCAAGTAGTAACAAAATTGGTAAGTACCTAGGTAGTATTAGTCCCATGTTTACCTGGTAAATTTATTTTTCATTCATTATTGTCATATTTAACATTAAAAATTTTTTTTCTAATGTTTGTTTATTTTTGAGAGAGACAGACAGAGCTTGAGTGGGGGAGGGGCAGAGAGAGAGGGCGACAGAATGTAAAGCAGGCTCCCGGCTCTGAGCTGTCAGTACAGAGCCAGACGTGGGGTTCAAACTCAGGAGCAGTGAGATCATGACCTGAGCCGAAGTCAGACGCCTAACCAATTGAGCCACCCAGATGCCCCGTATTTAGTATTTTTTAATACAATATGTTCCTTTCTTTAAGAAATGTGGTTAGGAAGTATTAGATCAGCAATTTATTTTTTTTAATGTTTATTTTTGAGAGAAAGAGATACAGAATGTAAGTGGGGGACGGGCAGAGAGAGAGGGAGACACAGAACCCAAAGCGGGCTTCCGACTCTGAGCTGTCAGCACAGAGCCCAATGTGGGGCTAGAACTCACCACCCATTAGATCATGACCTGAGCTGAAGTTAGACATTTAACCGACTGAGCCACCCAGGTGCTCCTAGATCAGCAGTTTTTAAACTTAGTATCAGGTCTCCTATTAAAAGGTATATTGAGGGGTACCTGGGTGGGTTTGGTGCAGCATCCGACTTCAGCTCAGGCCATGATCATGGTTTGTGGGTTCAAGCCCCGTGTTGGGCTCTGTGCTGACAGCTCAGAGCCTGGAACCTGTTTTAGATTCTGTGTCTCCCTCTCTCTCTGCCCCTCTCCCACTCGTGCTCTGTCTCAAAAATAAACTATAAAAATAAATAAATAAAAACAAAAGGTATATTGAGTGAAAAGATCTTTTTTAACTATTGAATTTTCTAAATTCATTTTATATATTAAGAGAACAGAGATAAAGACTTTGTAATGGTCTGTTCTATAAAGAAGTTTGTTCTTCTGACTCTCTACTTATACTGTCTCCATACACTTTACTGATTTTATTTTTAATGCTAAATGCCTGCAAAGTTTGGCATTTCCTAAAGAACAAGTGTGTTGTCTTCTCTTTAACAATAACTGACTAACCATGTCTTGCTTGTTGCTTTGGCTTCCAAGAAGTTGAGAACCAAATTTTCTGTTTCTATGCTGCTTTTTTAAATATTTATTTATTTATTTTGAGAGAGAGAAGGCGAGAGCGCACACTTACGTGTGAGCGGAGAGGGGCAGTGAGTGAGGGAGAGAGAGAATCCCAAGCAGGCTCCATGCTGTCAGTGTAGAGTCCAGCTTGGGGTTTGATCTCAAAAACTGAGACCATGACCTAAGCCAAAATCCAGAGTTGGACGCTTAACTGACTTAGGCACCCAGGCCTTGTTTTGTTTTGTTTTGTTGTTTTGTTTTGTTTATTTTTGAGAGAGAGAGTTGGGGAGGAACAGAGAGAGAAAGGGAAACAGAAGATCCAAAGCAGGCTATGCACTGAGAGCAGCAAGCCCGATGCAGGGCTCCAGCCCATGAACTGCAAGATCATAACCTGACCTGAAGTTGGGTGCTCAGCTGACTGAGCCACCCAGGTGCCCCAGGCTCCCATGTTTCTTGAGTTTCTGTGTAGTCTCTTAAAGACTTCATATCTGTATTCTATTCATACACACACACACCCTTACTAAGTAGTTTAGAAATTGGAGATTACATTTTAAGATCACAGTTCAAAATGGAAACTCCAATAGTTAAAGATGTTCTTTTATTTCATCCTTTTATCTACTCAACACTTTAATTACCTATAGACCATTTTAGTGTTGTTTTAGCCAAATAGGAAAATTTTACATTACTACCAACTTTTAGATATGCAGTGTTTTTAACATAAAATCTCACAAATACTGTTGTCACCTACAGATCTGGTATTCTTGAGGAAATTATATGGTATAAAAGATAATGAGCAAAATTACTGAAATTATCGTATTCCAGATTTAAGAAGTAGATCGTTAGTGAAAAGATGCAGAACAGTGTATATGGTTCATTACTGTTTTAGGGAGGAAAGAAGAATATATGTGCATTTTTGCTTATATTTATGCACAAACTATTTCTGAAAGGGTACACAGGAAAAGTGATAAAACATGCCTGCATAAGGGAAGGTAAACTGGTGATGTGGATAGGAGACGTCATTGTAATTTTTTTTTTTTGTATCCTTTGAACTTTGAATGATGTATATTGGCTATTAAAAATGTTGGAGCTCCTGGGTGGCTCACTCGGTTATGCGACCGGCTTTGGCTCAGGTCATGATCTCATGGTTTGTGAGTTCGAGCCCCACATCGGGCTCTGTGCTGATAGCTCAGAGCCTGGAGCCTGCTTCAGATTCTTTTCTCCCTCTCTCTCTGCCCTGCCCCTGCTTGCATTCCATCTCTCTGTCTCTCAAAAATGAATAAACGTTAAAAAAAATTTTTTTTTAAATAAATAAAATATGGGGCACCTGGATGGCTTATTGGTAGAGCATGTGACTCTTGATCTCAGGTTTGTGAGTTCAGGCCCCATGTTTACTTAAAGAAAAAAAAGATGTTAGAGTTTACTTAAAAAATAAATAAATAAGGGGCCCCCCGGGTGGCTCAGTCACTTAGGCGTCCAACTTTGGCTCAGGTCATACTTCATGGGTTCAAGCCCCGCGTCGGGCTGTGTGCTGACAGCCAGCTCAGAGCCTGGAGCCTGTCTTCGGATTCTGTGTCTCCCTCTCTCTCTGACCCTCCCCTGCTCACGCTGTCTCTCTCTCTCAAAAATAAATAAAACATTTTTAAAAAATAAATAAATGAAGTGAAAACAAAATCTTAAAATTATAAATACTGAAAATATTACAAATTTACTAAGAAACTGGATATACAGTTTACATTTGGTAACCGTGAGCTGTATCAGTTCCATTCTTTGTGTTGTCTCTCAATTTATACAGGTGTCTTTAATACATCTGGTGGAAGTCACTCAGGTCAAAATTCAAGTACCCTTAATGGTGGAGATGTCATCAATCTCAGACCCAACAAACAGAGGACCAAGAAAAACAGAAATCCTTTTAGCAGCTGTAGCATACCCTAAAACGTTTTAGGAAGGAAAAAATTGAATTATATTGTGCAATTCCATAAGAAATACATCCAGCTGTCATGGTATGTTACAAGTTTTTTTTGTTTTCTTTTTTTCTTTTTTTTTTTTTTTTAAGCAGACTTTGCACCTAATCACTCTCTGAAAGTTAACAGACTTAAATACTGTTCTGCAGTGCTTTTCAGATGGAGTGAGATCTTTGGTGGAAAAATACTGCCTTGTGGACTTGTTTTAATTTTTTTGCATCAGACGAAGCTTCTCCTGTTTTTGAAGGAATGATCCATAAGAAGTGTCAAAAACGGGTTTTGCTGAATTTGAAATGCTGGAAAACATAACTGAAGTGACTAAATATGTTAGTACAGATTTTAATATTATGGGTCAAGGAAAAATAGCAAGCATTCTTTTTCTGAAATTGGTCATATAGCTTTTCTGGAAAATAGTATTGAATCTGAATACTTACAAAAAAAACTTATATTGAAAGGTAAACTCTAAATTTTGCCAGACTGCATTAGTGTGTATTTTGGCAATGTTGCTTGTGCAATATCTGTATAATTTAGAATGTGGAGGTATGCATGCAGATATCTGGAACTGAAGTATACTGAAGCTATGTTCAGCATTTAAGGAAACATAGACTCTAATTCATTCATAAAATCATTTACACATCTGTGTGTACGTTAAAAGGTTTTATTTTCAAATAAGAAATTCCAGACATATATTTTGCAAAATGAGCTCAAGATTTTAAAAGTGCTTCGTGCCAAAAATATCATACATAACTTTTACAGTGCTTTACTATCAGAATTTATATTGTTTATAATATCTTCTAAAAGCAGTTTCCCTCTCTGACAGGGTAGATACAAGATGAGTATAAACGTTTTAATGCTAGCGTATCTCCCAGGTGAGACTTGTTGCAAAATCCCTCTCCTGCATCCATCCATAAGCGCCATGAGCTTGTGCTGGCCGGGTCACAGCGCACCTGCAGTCGCCCCTCAGGTCCTGTGAAGTGCCGTAGTGCGTCTGGCACCTTTCGCTGCTGACTGAAAACACAACTTTGAACTTTTAATATTATGCTAACAATGTTTTTAAATGCAGAAGAGATGATCTTTGGCCTTAATCTGCATTATGGATTTTATAATGCCCTGCAACTCTAAAGATTCTTTTCGTTTACACGTTTTTGTATGGTATTTTAAGATGATCACTTAAAAATTTCTATAAACTTCAGTTTGTATAGCACTTTGTCAAGAGCTCTGTCAGCACCAAATACAAAATAATTTCTTTTAAAAAATGATTTTCATATGTAATCATGTGGCGGAGCATAAATTTGTGACTTGGGACAGGAGCTTTCCAACTAAGATAACTGCATGAACTCTGGTAAAAAGTGATTATCATTCATCAGTGACTTTGTTTTTAACCCCTTGTTATCTACCTGGTTTTTACAGGATTTCAAGCTATGTAAAAATAATCTTTCTTGGAAAATGTGTCATAAAGTCGCTTTTCATTATTTGTACTAAATGCCTTATGTTATATGTATTTCTTTTGTATGTTTTCTCTTTTTAAGTCTTCCATCTGCACCATGCTCATCCCTCTGTCCAGATTAATATTGAGAAGATAATAGAATTTTCTGGGGCAACTCCTTGCTAAGCGGTCAAGAGTGAATGTTTGCCTTATAATAGTGAAATAATCTGGCATTATCTATTTTAAAATAATATAACATGTTATTTTTTTTGTCTCCAGTTGTCTCCACTCCCATTGCTGGCAGTGGGATAAGTGTTGGGGGAAACAAGTTCAGTTCCTAACAATGGGTACCTGTTAATGATTCATTTTTCCTTCTCTTCTCTCTTAAAATACAGTCTCTTTAATTTTTGCACAAAATATATTTTGTTCCAAATTGTTTTGTGGTCTTTAGTAGCCAAAGAAAATCATGCATAATATGTTCACATATGTTCTATTTCAGATTAGTTAAATGCGTGTGAGAAAGAGTTTGCTAGTTTTCTATATAATCTTTGATGAAGGTTGAAGTTTCCTGATATTTGTAATAGAATTTTACCTACTTAGTTTTGTCCTTTTTTCTTTTTATAAGAACTGAAGAGAGATCTTTGTTACACATTTAAATTTTTATTTGCACTTTTATATTTTAAACCTAACCATAATTGGTCATTTTAAATAAGTAGGTCTGAAGATCAGTCACAAATGATACGTTAAATATTTTCTCAATTTAATTCTAAAACTTTCAAATTTGACGTTAATTTTATTCTTGAGACCCTTAATTCTTTCAAATAACTATTAATTTCTAACAAGCTACAGATGCTAAAGAAAAAATTATGTAAGACTCTAGGATATGGTTTGTACATTTGTGCGCTAATGAACATTTTACATTACGGCTGGTTTTTAGTGTACAGACACAGAGCTGTGGAATAATTGCCATATTGCAGAGTTCTCAGGTTTCCTCTTCCTCTTTAGGTCGGCCTATCTAATTAAATAGCATACAGAATAGCCCATGTATGGCAATATACAGTTGAACTTTGAACAACACCAGTTTGAACTATGTGGTTCCACTTACATGTAGATTTTTTAATAGTACTGTATTTTTCTTCCTTATGGTTTTCTTTCTTTTTTTTTTTAATGTTTTATTTATTTCTAGGAGAGAGAGAGAGACAGCGTGAGCAGGGGAGGGTCAGAGAGAGAGGGAGTCACAGACTGAAACAGGCTCCAGGCTCTGAGCTGGCAGTCAGCACAGAGCCCGACGCGGGGCTCGAACCCACGAACCGCGAGATCATGACCTAAGCGAAAGTCGGATGCTTAACCGACTAAGCCACCCAGGCGCCCCTTCCTTACGGTTTTCTTAATAACATTTTCTTTTCTCTGGCTTGCTTAGTGTAAGAATACAATATATAATACCTACAACATACAAAATATTTGTTAATAGACAGTTTATGTTATTGGTAGGGCTTTCAGTCAGTTGTAGGCTATTAAGTTTTGTGGGAGTCATTATATTTTGTGTTTTCCACTTTGCAGGGGTCAGTCCCTCTAATCCCAGTGTTCAAGGATCAACTGTATTTCTGTTGTTATTCGTGCCATAAGATGAAATCAGCTGCCATTAATTTAGTACTTACTATCAGGTAGGAACTATACAAAGTACCTTGCAAACAGTAATTTAATCTTTACAGCAACTCTATGGAGGTGAGTATTATTATTCCCTCCCTTTTTTTTCAGAAGAGAGGAGAATGAAGATGTGAGAGAAGTTTGTTAGAGTCACATACTAGTTAGCAGCAAAGATATTTTCTATCCCATTTTATAACTATTAATTTTCATATAGCCCTGACATAAAAAGATGTGCTATCTTCTCATTATATATATATATATATATATATATATATGCATTTGATAGTGCTTTATATATGCAGTTATTGCAGTTATATTTTATGGAGGAATTACTACTGCTAAGAACATTTTCAGATTATAAATGTTCTAACATAATATTGATTTCTTATTTGATGCATTTGTTTAAAAAAAATTAAAATAATAAAGAATAACTTTATTTTTCAATCAAAAGTCTAATTTCTCTTCTGAAATTATGCAGAGGGAAGTATTCTAAAAGACTGATTTAATCATATTTTAGTGTATATTTATTTGATAGTCTTATCCAAAAAATTAAGGAATTAAAATACATGAAGAAAAGCTTTTGAATTGGGATTATGTACTTAGCAAGAAAAAAGAAATAAGTTAACCACTTTCAGGTATGTTATAAAAAGTTTATATAAAGGGAGTTCTGACCAGCCATTCTTAATTAAAGTAGAAGATCAAAGTTGAAGGATTAAGCTTGGTTATATTGGTTATTAAATGCTGAAATCATTTAATGAAGTAAGTTAAGTAATCTTCATAAATGAAAATATTAAATAAAGAAAATAGAGGCGCCGGGCTGTCTCAGTCAGTAGAGCATGCAACTCTTGATCTTGGGGTTATAAATTTGAGCCCCACGTTGTGTAGAGATTACTTAAAATAAAGTCTTTTTTATAAAGAAGATTGTTATCCATGCTGAATGCCAATTTGGATGCAGAAGTTGTCATAAAAAGATTTTTATTTTCCCGATTGCTTATAGCTCTTACAATTCAGTTTTTCATATATTAAGTGACAGATTCACTTAAACATATTTCTGTTATTTTTAATTGTTTAAGAGAAATCAAAGACTGAATTTGCTTTCTTCTTGGTTTTTGTATTATAGTATTGTGCTTCTTCTATAATTCTTATATTCTGTCTTTGTGCTGTTAATAATTGTGTACATATTTCATCTCTTCTAATTCAAATGTTACTCAAATTTTTCTACTTTTAAAACTGTAATGAGGATACCGCTTTCCTATTTGATTGCAAGAAAAAACAACATGTCATACCAATCTTGAAATTTCCTCGAATGGCTTTTACACAGATTTATAAATTACACTGATCAGAGCAGATTATAAACAAACATCTAAGATTTAAATGTATGATACTTATTGCTGAGAGAAATGAAAGGAGATTTAAATAAATGGATACATTATGTACACGATTTGAACACATAATATTGTTTTGTTATCAGATCTGTCTAAATTGATCAATAGATTCAATGCAGTCAAAATCCCAGTAGGCTTTTCACTAAAAATTTCAAGCTTATGTAAAAGCTATGTGATGAACCTAGGATAGCTAAAGAGTTTTGAAAAAGAACAGAGTTGAAAGACTGAGTCTCTATGATTTTAAGATTTTGGGTATGGATGGGTACAGTAAAGAAGACACATAGGTCACTGAAACACAATACAGTCCAGAAATATACCCACACAAATATAGTCAAATGATTTTTTTAATGTTTATTTATTCAAGAGAGAGAGCCTGCGCATGACAGAGGAGGGGCAGAGAGCAAGGGGGTGGAATCCAAAGCGGGCTTCATGCTTGTCAGTGCAAAGCCTGACATGGGGCCGGAACCCACGAACCATGAGATCATGACCTGAGCCAAAGTCAGACGCTCAACCAACTGAGCCACCCAGGCGCCCCTATCAAATGATTTTTAACAAAGACTCCACAATAATTCCATGGGGAAAGGGAAACCGTGCTGGAGTAATTGGATATTTTGAACCTTATACTACCCTTGAAAAGTAATTTGTGGTGTATTAATAACCTAAATGTAAATAAAAGTGAAAACTAAGGCTTCAAGAAGAAACAGGAAATATCATGACCTTGGGGTAAGCAGGTAATTTTTAGAACCCAGAAAGCACAAACTATAAAAGAAAATTGGTAAGTTGTACATAATAAAAATTTAAAACTTCTCATCAAGGGGTGCCTGGGTGGTTTAGTCAGCTGAGCGTCCGATTTGGTTTCCACTCAAGTCAAGATCTCAGGGTTCGCGGAATCCAGCCCCATGTTGGGCCCCACCTACTTGGGATTCTCTCTTTCTCTCTCTCTCTCTCTCTCTCTCTGCCCCTCCCCTCACACATGCAACCTCCCCCCGCCCCCCAAAAATAAATAAACGTTAAAAACAAAAATAAACGTTAAAAACAAAACAAGAGACTTCTACTCAGCAAAAGACATGGTTAAGAAAATGAATAGACAAGCCACATACTAGGAGAGTATATTTGTAATAATCATATCTCATGAAAGCCTTATATCCATAGTATATTTTATAAAAGACAATAAAAATGAGCAAAATACTTTAACAGACACATTACAAGGAAAATTATATGAATGGACATTAAGTACATCAAGTAATGCTCAAACTCATTAGCCATCAGAGAAATGCAAGTTAATACAACAATACGATTATATCAGACACCTCTAAAATGGCTAAATTTGGGGCACCTGGGTGGCTCAGTTGGTTAAGTGTACGACTTTGGCTCAGATCAGATCTCACAGCTCATGGGTTCAAGCCCCGCATTGGGCTCTGTGCTGACAGCTCAGAGCCTGGAGCCTGTTTGGGATTCTGTGTCTCCCTCTCTCTCTGCCCCTCCCCCACTCATGCTCTGTCTCAAAAATAAACCATAAAAAAATTTTTAATCAAAAACTAAAATGGCTACAATTAATAACTGACAGAATATTTGCATGGATGTGGAGAAACTGGAACTCTGGCTCAACCACTTTGGAAACCTTGGCAATTTCTTCTAAAATTAAAGATCGTCTATATGACCCAGAAATTTCACTTCTAGGATCACTAGAAGAGCCTGGAGCCTATTTCAGTCTGTGACTCCCTCTCTCTCTGACCCTCCCCTGCTCACGCTGTCTGTCTGTCTCTCTCTCCCTCCTAGAAATAAAAATAATAAAAAAAAAAAAACATTAAAAAAAAGAAAAGAAATTTCACTTCTAGGTATTTACCAAAGAGAAATAAAAGTTTAGGTATATGAAAATGAATGTTCATTGCAGCTTTAAAGTACCCCCAAACTGGAAACAACCTAAATATCCACCAACACAAGAAGTTATGCAAATTGTAGTATATTCATAAAATGAAATGCTACTCATAATTAAAGGGAACAAATTATTAATATACAAAACAGCACGAATCTCAAAAACTGCTGAATGAAGTCTGACACAAGAGTATGTGCATATAATTTCATTTATATGAAGTTCTAGAATAGGCGAATTTAAGATTAAAAAAATAATAGTGGTTGCCTCTGGGAACATACATTGACAAGAAAAGGGCACAGAGAATATTTTTGGGTGAGGGAGATATATCTTGATATGGGTATGTGTTACACAGCTATGCAATGCATATGTATGTATGCATACACAGCTACATGCATATATCAAAATACATTAAATTCTATACTATGATCTGTATATTTCACTGTAAATTACACCTCAATAAAAAAATTAGAAAAATAATGTGCTTTTCTGGGAAATACTACTTTTGTGATGAGTCGTATTTAAATTAGTAATTATTTGGGACTACTTCTAAGAGAGGTGATGGTTTGAGCACTAACATTTGGATATCCTTTATGGAAACTGACCAAATGACCAATGGAATATAAGATCGAGGAACAACCTGAGTACTAGATAGTCTCCAAAGAAATCTCACAAATAATCCTGCCCCTTCTGGTACATACATGCAGCTACTTCCATCAGGAGGGAGAATTTA